TGAATAAGAAAGAAAAGAAAAAATTAGCCATGAAAATAAAATAGACAATCCACGATTCATCATTCACAGAAAACAATGAAAATAACACTGGGATAACTTAACTAATATCCCTTCATTAAACCACAACGTTGAATATGTATTAGGTGTGTATCTTGGGGGAGAATTACGACATAGTGATCATTGTATTGTAATTTTTATCTGAACGTTCGAAGTAATTATGTACAGTACTGTTGTATCGTTTACCTGTACATATATATCCTGTGTGTGTAATAATAATAATAATATTAATAATAATAATAATAATAAACGGTTTATTAATAGAGTTACACCCGGTGGCTGAAAATATACAGACTTACATTTGATTTAGACATAATGATATAATATGCATTGAATACATTTACAGGGCTGTACAGTACATAAATCAGGAGTTGTTTATTATTTTAACAATAGATGGGATGGTGCTGTTCTTATATCTATCAGTGCGGGCTCTTATGGGCTGAATTTTGTTGTAGTGGCGGACTGCGCGAGTTGGGTGGGATTGCCGGTGGCAGGAGGTGGCAATGACGAGGATGGTGCAGTAGTCCACTGCCAAACCTTGCTAGTACTTGGTGGTGGAGGTCACTGAGGATGGCATTTCCGGGTGGAAGAGCGTTGTTGTAGCCGGGTAGTCTGCGCCGAGCATGATTCTGCAGGCCCTTTTCTGTACCTTCTCTAGCTGACGTTGTTGGGTAGAGTTAGAGAAGACGACCAGGCTGGTGACGCATACGTTAGTTTGGGGAGAATAAAGGCGCTGTTGATAGTCCTCAGCTCTGGCGTGGGTGCCCCAAGTGACCTAAGTCGTCGTAGCATGTAGAGTCGGTACAGAGGCTGCCTTGATTGTGTTGTTTACATGGGCCTTCCAGTCCAGTTTGTGGTCTATGGTAACACCCAGGAGTTTGGCAGATTGCACTAACTGGAGGATGGGCACCCACTATGTGTGTGTGTTGTTGTGTGTGTGTGTGTGGGGGGTTTGAGGAAGGAGGAGTGGAGATAATGCGTTCGTCTTGTCTTAATAAGGTTCCTCCTAAATCCTGCTCCCTCAAGGTCATGGAGGTGCGTTACACCTCAGTACACCTGGAGGTCGTCTACAGGCCACACTGTCTCTCTCCTCAGTACACCTGGAGGTCGTCTACAGGCCACACTGTCTCTCTCACCTCAGTACACCTGGAGGTCGTCTACAGGCCACACTGTCTCTCTCACCTCAGTACACCTGGAGGTCGTCTACAGGCCACACTGTCTCTCTCACCTCAGTACACCTGGAGGTCGTCTACAGGCCACACTGTCTCTCTCACCTCAGTACACCTGGAGGTCGTCTACAGGCCACACTGTCTCTCTCACTTCAGTACACCTGGAGGGCGTCTGCAGGCCTCAAACGATGGTGTTTGTCATAATAAATCAAACTGTCTTTTACACCACAAAAGAAAATCGAGACAGAACTCATGAATATATAATGTCGAGATGTTTTATAGCCCAACTCTCCGACCAAGAGGAAAATATTATTGAACCTAACGAGCGGTTCTTGGCCTGGCACGCCCTTAACAGCTATGTCCTGGTGTGTGTTGCCTCGACCTAACTCTTGGTGTGTGTTGCCTCGACCTAACTCTTGGTGTGTGTTGCCTCGACCTCTTGGTGTGTGTTGACTCGACCTAACTCTTGGTGTGTGTTGACTCAGCCTAACTCTTGGTGTGTGTTGCCTCGACCTAACTCTTGGTGTGTTGCCTCGACCTTACTCTTGGTGTGTGTTGACTGACCTAACTCTTGGTGTGTGTTGCCTCGACCTAACTCTTGGTGTGTGTCGTGCGGATAACCTGTGTCTCGCTCACCTGGGACCCAGGGTTGGGTTAGGCCTATGGGGTAATGGGCAGACGTTACTTATCATTTTCCTGACAGCCACTAACCACCACTACTCTTGTCCTGACAGCCACTAACTACCACTACTCTTGTCCTGACAGCCACTAACCACCACTACTCTTGTCCTGACAGCCACTAACTACCACTACTCTTGTCCTGACAGCCACTAACTACCACTACTCTTGTCCTGACAGCCACTAACCACTACTCTTGTCCTGACAGCCACTAACCACACTACTCTTGTCCTGACAGCCACTAACCACCCTACTCTTGTCTGACAGCCACGTCTCTCCTGGCCAGCGTGTTAACATTAACAGTCATCAGTGTGGGCAGGTTCGTGGCTGTCATATTCCACTACACGCCCGCACCTCCCAGACCGCGCCCACCGTGTCATCGCTGTGGTGTGGGTGACGTCTCTCTCTTGTCCTGCCCGACGCTTTCTACCGTGAACTGTACAGCATCAAGGTGACCTCTTATCCATGTTTTGTGTGTGTGTGTGTGTGTGTGTGTGTGTGTGTGTGTGTGTGTTGTGTGTGTGTGTGTGTGTGTGTCCTATATGTACGATTGTTGTTGTTGTTGTTGTTGTTGTCTCACCCATTTCTCTTCCTCAGTAGGCCCTTCACCTCCTGGCACTGTGACGAGGTGTGGCCAATGAGGTGAAAGTCAACCAGTGGTGAGGCGGTGTCACGACCGACCCCAAAGCTCTTCTACATCATACTCAACACCGCCTTCTTTCTCCCGTCGGTATCATGGTCGTGGTTACAGGTGGGCGGTTGTCTGGTGAGCGGTTGTCTTGGGTGAGCGATTGTCTTGGCCTGGGTGAGCGGTTATCAGGCACAGGTGAGCGGTTATCTTGTACAGGTGAGCGGTTATCAGGCACAGGTGAGCGGTTATCTTGTACAGGTGAGCGGTTATCTTGGTGAGCGGTTATCAGGTATAGTTAATTGATGATGTTAATGATGATGATTGATGATGATTGATGATGATGATGATGATGTTGACAGTCTGGTGGTGTGGAGGTTGTGGATGACTCAGCTGCCAGGTGAGCACTGTGTACCTGCCCGCAACAGCCACACGGGCCAAGAAGAAGGTAGTGAAGATGGTGTCAGTCGTCCTGCTGGTGTTTGTGCTGTGGACGCCGCCAGACCATCATCCTCTACAGTAACTTCGTCCACGTTGACCATAACTCCGTAAGTCTGTTTGTCAATACGTGGCACAAGTTAATGGTCTTAGAGGCCAGTGATAAATTATAACATTCAACAAACATATCATCCTCTCTCCTCACCTCACCCCTCACCCACACGCTCCCTCACCCTCTCACACGCTCCCTCACCTCACTCCGCTCCCTCACCCTCACACACGCTCCCTCACCCGCTCCCTCACACACGCTCCCTCACCCCTCTCACGCTCCTCACCCCTCACCCCACGCTCCCTCACCCCTCTCCACACGCTCCCTCACCCCTCACCGCTCCCTCACCCTCTCCCCACGCTCCTCACCCCTCACCCCGCTCCCTCACCCACGCTCCCTCACACACGCTCCCTCACCCTCTCACGCTCCTCACCCTCACCCCACGCTCCCTCCCCCTCACCCCGCTCCCCTCACCCCGCACTCCCCCACACGCTCCCTCACCCACGCTCCCTCACCCCCACCCACGCTCCCTCACCCCACACTCCCCCACCCACGCTCCCACCTCACACGCTCCCTCACCCCTCCCTCCACCCCTCACCCACGCTCCTCACCATGCTCCCTCCCACCCTCTCACACGCTCCCTCCCTCTCACCCCGCTCCCTCTCCCCCGCTCCACCCCTCTCACACACTCCCTCCCCACCCTCACCCCACGCTCCCCTCACCTCACCCCGCTCCCTCCCACCCCTCACCCCACTCCCTCACCCCCCAGTTGCCGGAGTGGTTCGGGGTGATGGAGTTCTCTCTTACTTCATCGCGTTGTCTAACTCCGCCCTCAACCCCATCATCTACTGCGGCTTCAACGACAACTTTCGCAAAGGTCATGTCTCTCCTCACCTGCAGACACTCTCTACCGGCAGGATACACCACCGTCGTGAGTATAACTGTGTCCAGACGGCAGGATACACCACCGTCGTGAGTATAACTGGTCAGACGGCAGGATACACCACCGTCGTGAGTATAACTGTGTCAGACGGCAGGATACACCACCGTCGTGAGTATAACTGTGTCAGACGGCAGGATACACCACTCGTGAGTAACTGTGTCAGACGGCAGGATACCACCGTCGTGAGTATAACTATGTCAGACGGCAGGATACACCACCATCGTGAGTATAACTGTGTCAGACGGCAGGATACACCACCGTCGTGAGTATAACTGTGTCAGGCGGCAGGATACACCACCGTCGTGAGTATAACTGTGTCCGGGCGGCAGGATACACCGTCGTGAGTATAACTGTGTCAGACGGCAGGATACACCACCGTCGTGAGTATAACTGTCGTCAGACGGCAGGATACACCACCGTCGTGAGTATAACTGTGTGTCAGACGGCAGGATACACTACCGTCGTGAGTATAACTGTGACAGACGGCAGGATACACCACCGTCGTGAGTATAACTGTGTCAGACGGCAGGATACACCACCGTCGTGAGTATAACTGTGACAGACGGCGGATACACCACCGTCGTGAGTATAACTGTGTCAGACGGCAGGATACACCTCCGTCGTGAGTATAACTGTGACAGACGGCAGGATACACCACCGTCGTGTGTATAACTGTGACAGACGGCAGGATACACCACCGTCGTGAGTATAACTGTGTCAGACGGCAGGATACACCACCGTCGTGAGTATAACTGTGTCAGACGGCAGGATACACCACCGTCGTGAGTATAACTGTGTCAGACGGCAGGATACACCACCCACAATCATACGTGCTGCCAGATGTATGTTTGCGGCTCATCATCTGGTGAACTATCAGATAGATCCATAAATTTCCCGGTAAAGAATATCTTGTATAATGGGTGAGAGTGAGTGCAGGTAGGGTGCTCATAATGTCACACCTACATCACATACAGGTAACGGGTGTTTAATTATCACGACCTACCTGTGATCTATTCCTACAGGTAACTGGAGAGGGAGCGGCGAGGGACAAGAGATACGACAGGTGGGGTTCTGGTCCTGAACCTGTAGTCGTGCTGGTTTAATTCTTTTAAACAAAGCAGGTGAGAGTGTGTGTGTGTGTGTGTGTGTGTGTGTGTGTGTGTGTGTGTGTGTGTGTGTGTGTGTGTGTGTGAATGTATGTGTGTGTGTGTGTGTGTGTGTGTGTGTGAGTGTGTGTGTGTGAATGTGTGTGTGTGTGTGTGTGTGTGTGTGTGTGTGTGTGTGTGTGTGTGTGTGTGTGTGTGTGTTTATAGAGAATGGACAGGGTGAGATAAACAAATGAATGGGATCTCTCTCACCACCTAACTCTCTGCTTCAGGTCGGGTCAGAAGTGCTCCTTGACCTCTACTCACAGTGGCCGGGTCTTGAGGACGAGCTTGGAGAAGGACCTCGACCATAACAACCTCAAGGATGATGCTTTAGACCCAACGTGTGAGGTACTACTCAGGTCTCTGCTAACCCACGTCTATATCAGTCAGTGTTAACCCACGTCTATATCAGCCCATGTTAACCCACGTCTATATCGGTCCATGTTAACCCACGTCTATATCGGTCCATGTTAACCCACGTCTATATCAGCCCATGTTAACCCACGTCTATATCAGCCCATGTTAACCCACGTCTATATCGGTCCATGTTAACCCACGTCTATATCGGTCCATGTTAACCCACGTCTATATCAGCCCATGTTAACCCACGTCTATATCAGCCCATGTTAACCCAACGTCTAGGTCAGCCCATGTTAACCCACGTCTATATCAGCCCATGTTAACCCCGTCTATATCGGTCCATGTTAACTCACGTCTATATCAGCCCATGTTAACCCACGTCTACTGTATATCAGCCCATGTTAACCCACGTCTTCTATGTCTGGTACAGAACCACAGCGGAGGAGAGAGTCGCCAGAAGGTGACGGCTGCCCCGCATCACTACCTCCACCCCGTGCAACAAACTGTGTCTGCCTTGTAGGAGACCTGAGGAGCATCAACGCCCGTCGGGGCATCACCACCTGACGGAGCATCATCACAGTGCTCCAGCGTCCGCCTCCTCCAGGGGCAGGAGAGTGGCCACATGTTGTGGGTGTTGCAGGAGCACCAAGAGCGCCTCCTTCACCTTATGACGTAAACAAACTGAAGGGCATTAATATCAGACACTAAAGAAGACACAGTTTAGGGGTATGTCTGGTGACACTGGACACATGCGTCTGGGGACACTGGACACATGCGTCTGGGGACACTGGACATGCGTCTGGGGACACTGGACATGCGTCTGGTGACACTGGACACATGCGTCTGACACTGGACACATGCGTCTGGTGACACTGGACACATGCGTCTGGGGACACTGGACACATGCGTCTGGTGACACTGGACACATGTCTGGTTACATACAAAACATGTAATAATCTTGTATGACGTAATATGGGAAAAAATATCCGTTTGTTTACGCTGCAGGTCCGGGATATAACCTGTAAGATAAGAGCGGTGGCAGACTGGAGAGCGCTCACCTGTCCTGAGGGTCGCTGGGGGACCTCCAAAACCCACCAGTGAATGGTGACCAAATTTACAGATGCAAGATGTGAATAACAGCATTAGAGTAAACTTCCACCTGTGGGGATTGACTGTCCGGTTTGACCAAAATTCTGGGTTGGGCGAGGATCTGCATTATCTATATTATATGGCTAAGAATTCTCGAGGATGAGAGATTCCGACTCAGGCTGCCTCAAGAGACTGAGACCACGACCACTTGTCTGTTATATTCCAGGATGTGAGATTGTCGCCAGTATACTGCATTCACGCAATGATAAGTACTAATATATCTTAATACTTTAGTTATTAAGTAGTTTGGATACTGTAGGTTGTCGAAAAGAAAATTATTATACCATATTTATAATTATATATCAGTAAAGTGTTTATCTGTCTGACCGCTGAGTCAATGTTACATATTGTTGTAGAGGAAATGGTGGACAAGTTAACAGCTCACCTCAGTTCACCCAGCTGTGAATGGAAACTTAACTTTATAGTTAGTGAAGATGGTCGACTACACCACCTAAATGTGAAATTTTGTAGGTAACGAGGAATTGGACACCTGTTTAGGGAAGAATGAAGAAGTCACATAGGGTGTACTGACTCACATCCAATTATCATTATTTGTACTTTAATATTTTGCATTATAAAATATGCTGTAGTTTCTTGAATCATTTAGTAATGTTTGTGTTTTTTTGTTGCAAATTGTACATATTTCTTCTAATTTAAATTTAGTTATAATCTTGTGAAATATACTGTAATAGTTTTATTTAGTTGTTGTAAATAGGAAAGAAGATTAAATGAAGTCCTTTAAACGTTATATTGATTTGAAAAGTATTGTGTTACTAAATTTAAAGACTATTTTATGATATAATTGAGTAAATCAGAAATGTGGGTAGCAATGTTTATGACCAGGGAATATTATAAGAAGTTGTAGTCTTACGGAATAATTAAATGCCTATTAAATGGATGGTGGCGCTGGGTGACATGGCTCCACCTGTTGTGTTGTTTGTGGAAATACTGGAGAACTAGGGATTAATTTATTCTCAAAGACGGAAAAGGTGTTAATAGTTCATACTTTTGGTTTTATAAGTAGTGGCGGTTAAATTACAGTTTAATTTATCATTTTAACACTTATCTTCCTATAGCCTTTTTGGAAGTGGTATTATTATTCTTTAGTATCTTCCTTCAACGTGAATGTTAGTAGCTAGGTCGTTGTGGTGACTTTGAAATGTTAATATATATTGTGCGGTAAAATAACGTTGAATGATGTAATTGATAAATTATAACAATAACAGAGTCAAATATGGTCTCATGGCTAAGTTACTTAAAATGTTGTTGAGTAAATATTTGACACATGAGGCTTCGACTGACGATATCCAAATAAAGGTTTCCAGAGTCACCAACACCCAACTCACTATCAAGAGTGATCATATTATTTACAGTTGTCCAGGATTGAACCACATACTGTATCTATAGGTAGGGGTTGATCAGGTCAGGTTAGGTTAGGTTAGGTTAGGTTACAACATGACATCTGTTTGTCAGTACAGTAAAACAGTATATTATTATGTCAGATTCTTGTGTGTTTCATGTCTTAGCTAATGTACTGTATCTCTATATGAAAATTAGGTTTTGTTCAAAGGAAAACACAGTACAGTATTATATTATTAGCAGCACAACCATACCATGAGGTAGAAAGTTTACTGAGCTTTGTTAGTAGAGGACCATATTGTGTTACAAAAAATTCAAAGGATAAAATTTCAGTTTCTTACTGTAACAAAGGTCCTTGTCACCAATAGTGTGTTAACTAATAAATTGAATAATTGTTTTGCAGTTAAATTTGTCCTAAACATAATTCAGTCATCAAGAGTGTCTTCTATCATTAATAATAAAGATGTTGATGATGTTTGGTGTAACATCAACAATGACCTCAACTTATGGATAAATTTTGTAATACATTTGTGTGATATTGACTGTGCCCAGCACTCCACTTCAGCTGACAGTGGTGAGGACAGACCGAGCTGCACCACCCATCTGCTAAACGACGCCTCTGTCAGGCCTTTTGATACTGTAGTAAGAAGCACTGTCCACCAGATGTCACTGCCCTGCTTCCTGCTGTTGTGGGCATCACGAGATACTGTACTGCAAGAAGACTGGATTGTCCAGCTCCTGCCTCATGAGTCTACACAGTTTTGTGGACACTAGGTAATGTAAACTATGTGTGCACCATATTGGGAACAACTGTTGCTACACCATAAAATTTAGTAATCATTGTACAGTAATACACAGAAATGTAGTAAGAATTGTGTTGGCAATAAACAAACAACCATCATTCATTCACAAGAATTCACAGTATTTTTTTTACTATTGACTACAGGATTGTGCAAAACTTACCCATCAGGTTCATAAAAATTTGATTTGACAGTATCTGCAGCAGCTAATATTGTTGTTTAAACCACTACTCCCATCATGATAGCTTCCTCAAACCTGTAACAATAATGGTAGGTTTTTGTTTACAGTACATACAAGAGGTGGACCTCCAAGCATGGCTTCCCGACATGTGCACGGTGAGGTGCAGTGAAGTTACCCATATGACTTGGTCGCCACATCTAGCTGATCAACAAAGACTTACCAATGGAACTGACATGTTTCTTAATGTAAGTCTGGCTCTTCATTTAAAACCAACTGGCATGATAATTAACCTCACTCAACATAGAATTACAGTAATAATAGAAGAGATGTGTCACTGTAGAAGAGGGTCCCATCGCTGTCTGGGCTGGTCAGATACAACACACTGTTCACTAGCATTAAGAGCACTTTTTGTACACAGCAGACAGAGACCAACACTGCACTCGACCACTTTACTTCCTCAACTTAACATTAGGTATAGTACCCAAAAAATTGTCTCTGAGGTCATTGATAGTATTGTATGGTTACAGTGCAGTACATATTAGTGGAGGCTGAGAGGAGTATTGTGAGGTTTTCTGTTCCCTTTTGACAATATTGACACAAGCTTACTTCCGTATGGTGTCAACACAACCAGTAAAGCTGAAGGTTTTTATATATATCAGTTCATGATGGTAGATGTTGGAATATTGGACAGTATGTTTACTACAGAATATATGTGATATATTCTTTACTAAATGAACTGTAACTTATCTTGATGTACTGTACTTGTTATCTTATTATTATTATTGCAAGAATATTACATCCTAAAGATACATTCTTAAAAGTCATTGTGGGTATGAGGACAATTTTCCCAGAATTAATGTAAATAGGGGGTGATTCTTTAATCGGCAGGTTTCACCATATATTTTCAATATAAATTACACTCTTTTATGTTGTTGGACCTATGATAAACATTTTAATTTTTAAAGTACATTCTGTGTATACATGTTACAGAGTAAAAAAATAATAATAATTAAATATGTAAATCAATCTAAAAATACAAGTTGAAAAATAACAATTAACTCGCCTTATAGCTTGTGATTGATTCTACCCGAAACACATTACTGACCTACCTCGGGTAAATGTATAGACCAACCAATTACATTTTAGTTATCTTTTGAAGAACTGTAAGATTTTGAATTATTAACATTGATAAAATTTATTGAGCTATATGTATCTATCTTATATTTACCAAGCCATTCACTAAAGCAATACGTAACTGAACGAAGGGCTACTGAT